CATGATCATCATCATCATGATCAACAGTATTATCATCGTCATGATCAACAGAATGATCATCATCATGATCATCATCATGATCAACAGTATTATCATCGCCATGATCATCATCAACATGATCATCATTAGTATGTTCATCATCTTGATCATCATTAGTATGTTCATCATCAAGTTCATCATTAGTATGATCATCAACATTATTATCATCGTCATGATCATCATAATTATGATCATCATCATGATCATCATCATCATGATCATCAGTATGTTCATCATCTTGATCATCATTAGTATGTTCATCATCAAGTTCATCATGAGTATGATCATCAACAGTATGATCATCGTCATGATCACCATAATTATTATCATCAGTATGATCATCATAATGATCATCATCATCATGATCATCATCATCATGATCAACAGTATGATCATTATCATGATCATCATCATCATGATCAACAGTATTATCATCGTCATGATCATCATAATTATGATCATCAGTATGATCATACTCAGTATGATCATCATCATGATCATCATCATCATGATCATTAGTATGTTCATCATCTTGATCATCATTAGTATGTTAATCATCAAGTTCATCATTAGTATGATCATCAACATTATGACCATCGTCATGATCACCATAATTATGATCATCAGTATGATCATCCTCAGTATGATCATCATCATGATAATCATTATGCTCATCATCATATTTATAATCATAATCGTCATCATTATGATTATCATTAGTATGATTATCATCATGATCATCATCATGACCATCATCAGTATGATCATTAGTATGATTATCATAATTATGATCATCATCAACATATTTATGACTATGATCATTATCATAATGATAGTGATCATCATCATAATCATCATCATTATGATTATCGTCATATTTATGATAACTTAATAAAAGCATAACAGAACAAGGCGTGCGTGTTTTTAAAGGCTCTTGAAAATTTGTTTGGGATTTAAAATATTGCTCTTTTGTGGTGTGTTATGTGCTGAATATGGACTTTGTTTTGTTACTGTTGTTTTTAATTAAATATTTCAATAATCGTTATAATGTTCTTTAGCATACTACGTATATGTATTATGCTGATGATTTGCAAATTTATGTACACTCTAGTCTTGATGAGTTGGATAAAAATTTAGCACTCATTATGATCATCATCATTATAATCACAATTAGTACGATCATCCTTCTGATCAGCATCATTATGATCATCATAATTCTTATCTTTATCATTAGCATTATGATCATTATCATGATAATTATAACCTTTACCATGATCATCACCATCATGATTATTATCATTAGTATGATCATCATCATGATCATATTGAAGCATTCATAAGCTCTCAGTCCGGGGATTATTAATATATTATGTAATTTCTTATTATTATTTAATTTTTCGTTACACATCGATTTTGAGAAGCAAATGAGTTCAAACGTTTGGCCGATAAACTGTAAACATAAATGATTAGGGAAGTATCACCCACATTCCATTATCTCTAATACAAAAGAAACAATAGTATTGTTAAAATTTAAAGGGACTTTTTATTCTTAATTTATATTATTCAATATAATGAAACACGTGCTAACTATATCATCAAATAAGATTGCTAACGTGTAGTAAAATTTTTTTGCTTTTCCAAATTCTATATATATCTATATTCTTTTCTTTTATTTTTAAATTATTTGTCGCTTTTCAAACTAAATTAGAGGAATCTTTCCAATAATTATTTAGTTTTTTAGCTTTTGTTATTAACTTTTCAAAATTCTTTTACTTGTTTAAACAATTGATTGTTTATCGTTTCAAAGAATTTTGATGCTAAAGAAAATAATAATAATAATGAATAAAAGAATTAGTTATTTTTATTTAAGTAATGTAAATAAACAATTAATCAGAAAATATAGTTTTTCTTTGTTTATAAAAACGATTATGAGTCTTTCCTCATTAATTCTCTCAATTCTGAATAGAATAAAATTTACTTTTAGTTAAACTTAGTAATTATAAATAAATAAAAATAAATACAAACACACCTTGATTTTGTGATAATCTCACTATTAAAATCGATTTGCAATTATTCGTTATGTATTTTATGAAATCATTTTAAAACTGTTCAGATAAAAGAGACAGAAACACGCATTTACTTGGCTTATATAGTTGCGTCCCTACCCTTAATTTTCTTGAGTAAGTAAAATTCAAAATGTGCGAGTGTGTGAGTAAGGAATTTCAAATTGATTGATCGAAAATCCACGAGTTTCCCTCACTACTTTACGCAGGGTGCTTCTCCCATGTATTTCTTACCGCCAATTTCTCCCTCTATTTAGATTTTTCGCGGCGTCTATTTTCGGATAGCCAATTACATTTAAATTATTTTCTAAGAACAGAGATATTTTTCTCTCACTAATTCCGTTTCTAACGTTCGCCAAGAACAATGCCATTGTCTACCTGTCAATCATTTTTCTCTAACTGATTTTCATTTTCTAAAATCTTTAAATTATCAAAAATTAATAATTTTAAAATTATTAAACTTTTACCATTAATTTTTAAATAATTTTTACTTTAATATAACATATGATTTTATTCAATTATTATTAATTTCAGCAATTTTTTAAAATAATTTTTATTATTTCACTTTCTAAATAATTTAAAGAAAAAAATATGAAATAAATTTATTCTTTAAATAATAATCTATAAAAATTCTTATTTATAAAAAAAACTTTAAATTTAAATTAAATTAATAATTCTCTTAATTCGTATTTATATCTACCTTCTGTTTCTATTATTTTTCTGTTTATGTTTTCATTGTGTTATCTATAGATATCTTTTCTCTCTTTCTATTATTTTTAGAAATTCAATTTATCTAGTTTTAATTTCATTTCTTTGTATAATTTTATTTTTAATGTTTATTAATTTATAATTTTTAAATAATTTATAATTATTTTATAATAAAATTTTTGACTGTTGAAATACCATTTCAATATGATGATCATGATGGTTATCATGATGGTGATTAAGAAGTTGATAATGACCTTAATAATGATGATCAGAATAATGATGATCATGATGATCCTAATAATGATGATGATGATCATACTAATAATGATCATGATCATCATCAGTATGATTATCATCATGAAAATCATCATGATAAACATCATGATCATCACGAACATCATTAGTATGATAATCATCATGATCATCGTTAGTATGATCATCATCATGATCATTTTTATTATGATCATCAACAACATCTTGATCACTATCATGATCATCATCAGTAAGATCATCACCATGGTCATCATCAGTTAGATCATCACCATGATCATTATAATGATCATCATTAGTTTGATCAGCATCATTATGATCATCAGTATGATATATCAAGATCATCATTAGTATGATTATCAAAAGTATGATCATCTTCAAGATCATCATCATTATGATCATCAGTATGAACATCATCATGATCATCATTAGTATGACCATCATCAGTATGATCATCATAATAATCATCATCATCATTATGATTATCAAAATTATGATCATCATATTTTTGATCATCGTTATATTTATCTTCATCATCATCATTATTGTTAGTGGTTTCTTTTAATGATGAGACAGTAAGTTATTAGTTGTATTTGATTCAAATAACTATTTATTTAATACGATTAATTAAAATACTTTGGTTAAGTAAATGTGTATTTCCTTCAAAAATACATATTTATTGGATAATATACAAGTAAATGATGTATTTGGATCAAATACATTTTAGTTGATCCAAACACCCTGAAAAAAGGAATCTCATATTTAGAGGAAAAATCTTCTTCTAATATCCTCTCAATTTTTCCTCTTAAAACAAAAATATTCCACTTGAATGTAGAATATTTTTATTCTTTGGTGACTAATAATAAAACAAAACAATTTTTTTGAGGTTCTGATGTCAAAAACATTGAATTACAGTTAAATAAATAAACAAATCTATTAATTAATGTAAGTAATTAACTATAAATCATTAATTATATTTAATATTTAATTAAAGATATTTAATTTAGTGCATGATAATAGCTTTTCTTTATCAGTTTATAACCATAATTATCAAATTATATGCGAGAAGAAAATTCTCTCAAGTGAAGACTATTACTTTTGATACAATATATAAGAGGAAAATATGCATCAAATTAAGAGGAATTCGCTAGAATCAAGATTATTTTTTTTAGGGTGAATAAATTTTTTTTTCAGTGTATCTATTATATCGGGAATAAATTCGTAAACTTTTCTTAACTTACCTTTGTTGATGTCACACAAATATAAAGTTTTTCGAACCATCATTCTAATTTTGTAACTGATGGAAGCTTTATCAAACTTACAGTCAATGACAATCTAAAATATATATTTAAGTTAACAAATATAAATTCACTGAAAAACTTCTCTAACCTACTTCAATTTTTGGTGGATATTTCCAAAAACGAAAACATGTGCTGTGAATTTCTTCACAAGTTGTTCACACAAGAGAGTTTAAGAATATACTGTTCACGAATCTTTCGAGGGTCAGTGAGAAAGGCGAAAAGTAAAAACTATTCTATCCCTACTTCCAACATTTTAGTAGCATAAGGGAAGGTCTAATACGTATGTATTATAATGAAAAAAATAATGCAAAGAACTAAAGATTCACACGTAAAAAATATTTGATGGCCCTGAAAAGGGCCGATTGTTTTAGAGGATGTTGGTAGAAATTTAAGCTTTCTTTTCGGTCTTTTTGGGCAAAAGAACAGCCTGGATGTTGGGAAGAACACCACCCTGAGCGATGGTGACTCCAGAAAGAAGTTTGTTCAATTCCTCGTCATTCCTGATGGCAAGTTGGAGATGACGGGGGATGATTCTGGTCTTCTTGTTATCACGAGCGGCATTTCCTGCCAATTCCAAAACTTCGGCAGCCAAGTATTCCATTACTGCTGCGAGGTAGACTGGAGCTCCAGCACCAACTCGCTCAGCGTAGTTTCCCTTGCGCAAGAGACGATGGATACGACCAACTGGGAATTGAAGTCCAGCTCTGTTGGAACGAGTCTTTGACTTTCCCTTGACTTTGCCTCCTTTTCCACGTCCGGACATTTTTTCGATTTAGTTTAGTAGCAACGTAACGAACAACTCAAAGGTTGGATGACTAATACAAAAATTTCAGTAAAATCGAATATTTATGCACTTCCATTAGGGTCCCCCACCACTATTCCCCTACCTCAATACTTTGACTGGTAGACGTTTACAGCGAGTGCACGAACCAATCACAATGTAGCATAGCCACTGCGACAGAACATAAAAGGAACCCGGTTTGTGGGCCGAGCATCAATTCACTCCGTATTCTCATTGAGTTTACACGTGTTTGTCTCTGAAAATCCAAAATGCCTCCTAAAGCAAGTGGAAAAGCTGTGAAAAAAGCCGGCAAGGCTCAAAAAAATATCACCAAGACTGATAAGAAAAAGAAGCGCAAGAGGAAGGAAAGCTATGCCATCTACATCTACAAAGTGTTGAAACAAGTCCATCCCGACACTGGAGTCTCCAGCAAGGCCATGAGCATCATGAACAGCTTCGTCAACGACATCTTTGAACGTATCGCTGCCGAATCTTCCCGCTTGGCCCACTACAACAAGAGGTCAACCATCACCTCCCGGGAAATTCAAACCGCTGTCAGGCTTCTCCTTCCTGGTGAACTCGCCAAGCACGCCGTCTCTGAAGGCACCAAGGCTGTCACCAAGTACACCAGCTCCAAGTAAATCTAAATCTTGATCTCTCCGAAAACAATCGGCCCTTTTCAGGGCCAACAAATTTTTTTACGAAGGAATTAATTTTTTCTTTAACATTTTTAAGCCAATATTAGTTTATTTTTACCACCATTATATTTTAAATTTCTCTCGATGAAAAGCTATTATTGTTGTAAGGAAATAAAGTGTATAGGTTTCGAGAAAGCAACACCCTTTTTTATGTTGCAGGTCAAAAATATTCTCATGTATTTTATAACAACCATATATACGTGTTATTCTGGAGTAGCCTGCTTTGGGAAAACCCAAAAGAAGGATTAAAAAAAAGTATTTCATATCCGATATTTGATGTTTTGTGTTATTAGTATTTGACTTTCGTTGATTTAGTGAGTCTTTTTTATATCTGGTCAACATGTGTTTAGTGTCCAATGGAAAAAGTTTCTATAGCGTTTCAAATGGTATTTTTTATGTTCTTTAAAAGCTTTATATTTCAGAGGGAAGAAAAGGTTGGGATTGTATTTTCTTTTTGCTATTTTACTTCATTTATAATAATTCTGAGTATAGTGATTATGTTATTGAGATACTCGAAAAGGAATTTGCGAAGAAGGAAATATTTTCACAGAAAATTAAAAGGCATTAAAATAAGCTGCAACGCTTATTATTTTAATCCAATTTTGCTTATTTTAATCCATTTTGGTATTAAAATAAGCAAAATTGAATTAAAATAATAAGCGTTGCAGCTTATTTTAATGCCTTTTAATTTTCTGTGTTATATTAACCATCCTTTTTACGAGTAGCTGGATATTTTCATTGAGCGAGGTAGTGAATATACTGTGTATGATATACTATATGATACAATATACTATACGACAGTATATACTGTCGAAACATGATCTTGAATAATACATTTCTTTAAAAAAAATTTTAAACACCCGTTTTTTGTTTTAAGGCCTCCTAGAAAACAATCCGCAATACTATAATTGACGGATGTGAAATAATAGTATACTTTATGTAAAATAAAAAAAACTTTCTTTTTTACATTTACCTTTTCAATTTTATCAAATAGTTTTTTACCTTCACAGATCAAATTTAATTTAACTCGCCTGGGGATTTTCTTCTAATAAAATCAATTATCAACATAAGACTATCTTTTTGCTTTAAAAACATGTTTTAAACAAAAGAATTCCAAAGTTAAAAAATTTGGTGGCCCTGAAAAGGGCCGATTGTTTTGTAAGATGACAGGAAAATTTAACCGCCGAAACCATAAAGGGTGCGGCCTTGACGTTTCAAAGCATAGACGACGTCCATGGCAGTGACGGTCTTCCTCTTGGCGTGCTCGGTGTAAGTGACGGCGTCACGGATCACGTTCTCAAGGAACACTTTGAGAACACCACGAGTTTCCTCGTAGATCAATCCGGAGATACGTTTCACTCCACCACGACGAGCCAAACGACGGATGGCTGGCTTGGTGATACCTTGGATGTTATCACGCAAAACTTTGCGATGCCGCTTTGCTCCTCCTTTTCCCAAACCTTTACCTCCCTTTCCGCGACCAGTCATTTTTGCAGATAATAAAGTTCGTACGTCAAACTCGAACGAAGAACAAACTGAGAATGCTTTTCCAGGGAAGTGAGAATTATTTTATAACATCGTGTGGCACACATCTCCCACCACAATTTCACTCTACCAATCGTGTTGCTAGTTTCCCCTCCCTTTAGCTGCTTATTGAACAGAAGGGTCGAAAGTCCATAAATACAGCATTTTCCCCGCCGTACATCATTGTTTTGTTAGTCTCCGAACTTACAGCATCGTCATGGCACGTACCAAGCAAACCGCTCGTAAATCCACCGGTGGTAAGGCACCAAGGAAACAACTCGCCACCAAGGCCGCCAGAAAGAGCGCGCCTGCAACTGGTGGAGTGAAAAAACCCCATCGTTACAGGCCAGGAACCGTCGCTCTCCGTGAGATCCGTCGTTACCAGAAGAGCACTGAGCTCCTCATCCGCAAGCTTCCTTTCCAACGTTTGGTTCGTGAGATCGCTCAAGATTTCAAGACCGACTTGCGTTTCCAGAGCTCTGCTGTGATGGCTCTCCAGGAGGCTAGCGAGGCTTACCTCGTCGGTCTCTTCGAAGATACCAACTTGTGCGCCATCCACGCCAAGAGAGTCACCATCATGCCAAAAGACATCCAATTGGCTCGTCGTATCCGAGGAGAACGTGCTTAAGTTTTTTACAACAACCTTCAAAAATGCAATCGGCCCTTTTCAGGGCCAACACATTTTTTTACGTTGAAATTATTTTGGTTTAACATTATAAAAAATAATTTATTAAGATAAATTTGAAGCATTTTTCTTCTAGTTTACAAATATTTTGATATGTTTATGATCTATTAGATAAATTATAACTAAATTATCATTTGTATTTTGTAGAAGTCGTTCACTGGTAAATAAAGTTTATTAAAATTTCTTTAAATTAATGGACGTTTTATGAAAATATAAAATATGGAGGCGTAACCTTTTTTAATATGTTCTAATTGGATATTTGATGTCTAAATATATTTTATGGAGTTAATGATTAGCTTTTCAATTTACTAGAAATTGTAGTTGGATCAACTACAAAAATACTGAAACAACTGCAAAACATCATTCTATCAACTATATTCTTAGTTATTGTAACTACTTTCTGATAGTAAATTTTACTTTTTAAATTGAGTTGAGGAACTATTGTACTAGGCAAAGTAGTTAAATGTTGTCAAATCGATTATATTTTTTTGAGTGCAGTTACATTAAATAATTTAATATGTACTTGTAAATTACAGAATTTATCTGACATATTGCCTCGAAAGAATAAATAAATTTACTACAAAAAATATTAACAAAAAAATGTTTCATCGAAGATAATAGGAGAAAAATTAATTTCCTAAAATTCTGAATGAATTCTTATTTTGATTTAATTGTATGATAAAATAAACAGCAAAGAGCGTTATATAGAGACTAGCGCTATTCGTAATCAATCTACAGACATGTGTAATTTAGCAATTTTTTTGTATTTTAATAAGTTATTTGTTTAAAGAACAAAACAAACCATTACGTAAAAAACAATTTGTGGCCCTGAAAAGGGCCGTTTGTTATCGATGAGTTCTGAAAATGTTACTGTTATATAACATTCCCTCCTTATTTTTTTGCAACCTTCTTTGCCACTGTCTTTTTGGGTTTTGGTGCAGCTTTCTTGGCGGCAACAGGTGCCTTTGCTTTCTTGGGAGAAGCCTTGGTCACCTTAGGCTTGGCAGTGGTAGACTTGGCCTTTGGTGGTTTAGCTGCAACCTTAGGAGTCTTTTTCTTCTCGGCAATAGCTTTCTTGGCCTTGGCAGCTACAGCCTTTTTCGGAGATGCAACTTTTTTAGCCTTGGATGCAGCAGCTTTGGGTTTAGCTGTAGCAGTCTTGGTTTTTGCCTTGGCCTCAGCTTTGGCGACATTCAATTTGAAGGATCCTGCAGCACCTTTTCCCTTGGTTTGAATCAGCGTTTTGTTGGCAACAGCAGCTTTAAGATACTTTCTGATGAAAGTCGCTTGCTTTTCTACATCAACTGCATAAGTACCAGCAATATATTTCTTGATGGCTTGGAGAGAAGAACCGCCTTTTTCCTTCAAAGCTGTGATAGCTGCAACTACCATTTCAGATGCTGGTGGGTGAGCGGCTTTTGTGCGAGGTTGCTTCGCTTTAGGAGTTGCCGCCTTCTTAGGAGTTGTAACTGCGGGTGCAGCTGGAGATTCTACTTTATCTGCCATTTCGAATAAACAAAATATATTTGTTAAAAATTTCAAGAAAAGTTGAATAACTATTCCAATCCTCTCAGCTCAACTGGCAACAGAGAAATGAAAATTTCCACAGGCGATCGATGACTTAGTGAACTACACGGACGGTGAAGAAAGACCACTCCGCTTGTGCGTCACATACCGATCAGAATTTGGGTAACATGTGTACTGTTTTAAAAAACTTCTTTTTAATTTACTTATTAACATTTTTAATTGTGGTTATAAATCACTTTGATTTCAATTGAATACTAATTGTAATTTTAAAGTAAAAGAATAAAAGTTTGATAAATACATTATGTGTCGGTAAAATTGTACATATACCAAGACTATATTTTCTATGCTGTCTCAAATTATTTTGCAAAAATGTTATAAAAACATATTCTAATTACTTTTTTTAAAATAGAGTTTTCTGATCTACACTCCATACTATTAGCTATACTATCAATATATTGTTTGCAATTTTTAAAATTAATTTAGATGGTAAAAAAATATCCAAATAAAAAACCAGTTCAAACTCTACCAATAGAACACTTCCATTACTACTTTGGATTTTATGTACCAGTAATGCAAAAATTTTAAACAAAGTTTTTAAACATCTATAATTATAAAGTCACACAAAAAAACTTATGTCTTTCACCCGGAGTTCTCACTATGGTTACTATATATTTGTAACAAATAATATAATGATTAAACTAGAAAATAAAGCATACAGCAAAAAAATCAATGATACACAAAAAATTAATAAATAGATTACAATAAAAAAAATTAAACCAAATCAATAAAGGGAAAACACAAATGAAATCAAAATAAATTCGGTCCACAGACCATACGTATCATATACTAAAATGCTTTTGCGATCACCGGGGTGAAGTACAGTTGAGTACGGTTAATAATTGGATGGGTGGCCGCCTCGGTGCTCGCTATAGCCCTGGTGTTTTCACTTTGATCGAGATATATCAAGCGGGAAGTTTGACGTCGAGGAAGTGTTTGTACATTTGTAATGATTATCCAAATATACATTCACAACTCGATTATCAATAAACCGGCTGTAGTCGAGAGAGGTTTTCTGTAGTTTTCTTCTCCCCTGGCCAAAAGTCCAGAGAAATGGGACTGTTTCTAATAAAAGTCGGTCTACAGCCGCAATTTTAAAGAGTTTTTGAGTTTAAAGATTTAAATAGACTTGTGACGACTTCTGAGGACATTGTAAAGACCCCTAAGGGGTATACAATTTTATAAATAGTATAACATCCCTTTCCCTATTGATGTAAATGATTTTTCATCCCTCAGGCACAAAGATGGCGCATTTAGATACCTGTCGTCCTGGTGTAAAGCAACACATTTATTCTCCCGTCTGAAAATGGCGTCCATGTTTGCCCTAGAATAAAAATGAACAAAATTGCGCTTATCATCGTGCTCGAGGCTGACTGGGTCCTTAAGGACTATAACTCACGATGTTAAAATAAGCATATCTACCCCCTAACGAAAGAACTACCTCTTCTTGAGCGGAAGAACGGAATTAAAGTACCTAGCGTGGATCTCGTGGAGGTTCCGTCTCCGAGCTAAGTTCCACCTACCGATGATCTAGTAGGTCACACACACTCATACAATAAGGTGCCCAATGAAATGGTGGAACCGGGAACGGTTAGTAACATTCATCTTGGACAGTGTAGGATCCACAGTGTGGAATCCACAGTGTGGAATCCACAGTGTAGAATCCACAGTGTAGAATCCACAGTGTAGAATCCACAGTGTAGAATCCACAGTGTAGAATCCACAGTGTAGAATCCACAGTGTAGAATCCACAGTGTAGAATCCACAGTGTAGAATCCACAGTGTAGAATCCACAGTGTAGAATCCACAGTGTAGAATCCACAGTGTAGAATCCACAGTGTAGAATCCACAGTGTAGAATCCACAGTGTAGAATCCACAGTGTGGAATCCACAGTGTGGAATCCACAGTGTGGAATCCACAGTGTGGAATCCACAGTGTGGAATCCACAGTGTGGAATCCACCGTGTGGAATCCACAGTGTAGAATCCACAGTGTAGAATCCACAGTGTAGAATCCACAGTGTAGAATCCACAGTGTAGAATCCACAGTGTAGAATCCACAGTGTAGAATCCACAGTGTAGAATCCACAGTGTAGAATCCACAGTGTAGAATCCACAGTGTAGAATCCACAGTGTAGAATCCACAGTGTAGAATCCACAGTGTAAGAAAATATAAATTGTTTTTGAAACTGTTTTATGACATGGGTAGCATTTTTGGAGTTAATATTGGTCTTCCTCTACTTGTATCGGGCTGACAATTTTTTTCTACACTTTTCGGTGTATTTTGTGCAAGAATTATTAATAATATAGTTTGCCTAAGAAAATATAATTGTTTTGAAACTTTTTTATGATATGGGTAGCATTTTTGGTGTTAATATTGGTCCTCCTCTACTTGTATTGGGCTGTCAATTTTTTTTCACACTTTTGGTTGTACTTTGTGCAAGAAATTGCAATGAAATCGTCTGCCGAAGACGAGGCCGAAGAAGAATTGAATTTATTTGTCGATTTTACTAGGACAAAAAGTGCTTTAATATGTATGTTTAATATGTATGTATGTATGTATGTTTAATATGTGTTTGTGGATCTCTTTTTTGTTTAGATGATAACTTTAACAGGTTTTAATGGATTTAGATAAAATTTGGTAGGCTTATTTATCATATTAATATCTCAATTCTGACCAAAGGATTTTAAAAAATACTAAAAATAAAGTTTTATCGTCTTGTTTCCAAAATTTTTTTTTTAATCGTAAAAATTTTTAAATAGAAAAATTTAAAGTTATATATAATATAATCGTATTTCTTACGTCAAGACAAATCGATTGGTATATATAAAGTATAGTTTCAATTTAAATTTAAAGAATTAATGAAAGTTAAAAAATCAAAAATGCACATTTTTGCTGAAAAATTTTGTATTTATTTAAATTCAAGTTTAAATATAAAATAATTGTGTTCCTTGCATTGAAACAAACTTATATAATTGTAAATATTTATGTATTATATATTATTTTTTATTAATTTTTAGAAATTTCAGCTAAAATGTGAATTTTTGATTTTTTAACTTCCATTAATACGATTTTTCCTATTGTGGAACCAACTTTACGCCAGCGTTTCATGCAGTCATGGAACGGCTTCTTTAACGGCATGTGGGAGAAACCCACGTGACCTAGTATGGGAAATATGTTTTGCAATATTCCAACTTTCTCTAAAATGAAAAAAGATTTTAGGCTAAAATTTTGAGGGTTGATAGACTTAGGCACATTTCACTGCGCTGTTCTCCTGAAAAAACTTAATTTTGCGTTAAATTGTTAAAAAACTAAGTTTAAAACGTGATATTTTTAAACGAAGATGACAACAAAGATTGCCGCGCATACACATACGTTGCTTGAGTGTGTCAGTGTTCCAGTAAACAGTACCAATTCGAGCAAGTGGCCGCTGAATGAACTATGATAAAACACATTATTTTACTATTTATTAATTTATTTTTATTATTTTTACGTTAAGTGAAGTACCGCCCTATGCTTTGCACCCTCCTTTATCAAGTCTGGAATATTTTAACCATATTGGTTTTTTTTCTTCTTTTTTTATCTAAAGTTTTTAAACTCTCTTTTCCTATTGGTTGGAAAATGCATCACCGGCAATCTGATTGGTTGAAAAATAAAAGAGACAATAAATTCTTTTTATTTTACCGGGTATATAAGGACTATTTTTGAGCCTAGATTTTTAGATTTAATTCAAATCTTGTACTGAATATTACAAGACTTCTCCGCGAAAATAAATCGCTTGTGACGTGACTACAAATTAGGCTGTGTCAGTTCATCGAGATATTTCGAGTTCAAGATATGACGTCAGAGGCCTGGAGGGACAACAAACTAAATTTTTCATACCTACAAGTAAATAAAAAGCTATTTTTTATGTATTTTTAAAAATAATTCAAATCAACGTAGTAATATTTTGCATAAACTTTAATTAAAACACTTTACATAAAACATAAATATAATTTTATATTATGCATTCATATGTACATATCTTAAATAATTTTTCATGTCATTTCCAGAATTTTGCAGAAACATTAAATTTGTACTTTATAAAAGTGAAACAATTTATGTAACATATATTTTTATATTATTTAATTTAATTAATATTTAATTTTCGAGGTCGATCTTTTTTTTAGGAACATTAGCATTTTCGTTATTAATTACATTGTTAATGTTTGAAATGTTTTCTTTATTTACATTTTTTTCAATTTTTGGGCATCCTAAAAAAATAATTTAACAATTTTGTAATGCTTTTACGAAAAAAGAAAATATATCTGACATAAACGTACATTTTCTTAATAACTTTAATTGAACTTCATGTATATAAAAGGTTATATACGACGCATCATATTTTTTAATATATACAAATTATAACTTTTGTATCAAGTCCATATGTATTATTAACAGTCTCTCCAAAATTAAGTGGAAATATATTAATTCTAATATATAAATGTTAAAATTACTTACTTTATTTCCACCTTTTCTACATATGTGACATTACTATCTTAACGTAAACATCGAATCTAACCACACTTTTCTCCGGAAAAAAATTATTCGCAAAAAAAAGTAAACATATTAACTTAGAATAGTGGAGAGTATCAAGTTTCAAAATTCTAGTTTCCTTAAGATTTTCTTTAGAAAAACAAAAAAATGCTTGACACTCTGGGAATGATATTTAGTTTAATTTTTTAAATAATAAATATAAATTATATATATACTACATTTATGTAAAAAATTATGCAGAATTTAATAAACCTACGCAAAAAAGGCCAAAATTTTATTGTTTCTTGTTTTTGTAAGAAAACTAAGAAGGGTGCCAATGACTGGGTCAATTACCCTAAAATGTATATTTTAAGTGGGAATTACCGCAGCAGTAAAAGATTTCAAGTTAGTAAACAAACACCTCTAACCTCAAAATTTATATTTTATCACGAATTCAGAAAATCTATCAATGCAATTGAATCAAATAAATAACAAAAAATTAATTATCAACACATATTTTAATTTTATTATATGTTAACAAGCGTTTTCCATGTTTAAAGTATTGAGATCTGAAATACTGCGATACGCCATCTGGTGTCGACCCACTTGCGGTAGCCATTTTTTATTTTGTCTCTGTCGAACATATGTATAAAGAAAGAGACAAAACAGCAAGATGGTTGCCACAAGTGGGTTCAGGGTTGAGTAGTTACACAAGATTTCGGATCCCAATAAATAAAATTGATGAAAAGGGGAAAAAATTTTCTTCCCCATAAGAATAACATTGTGTCGTCTGTTTGTTGTCCCTCCAGGGCTCTGACGTCACTTCTAGAATCGACTCTGACGTCACAAGTGACAGAGCCTAATAAAAGACGTTTACAATTTTTCAAATTGTTAAAGTGAAATGTAATGTATTCGAACTTTTGAGTTTTACAAAAACTGTTTGATTATTTAACAATTGTGAATTTTAAGGAAAGAACTAATCAACAAATTGTGAATTTTCAAAGAAAAGACTAATTAATAATTGTGATTAATTCAATTACTTACATTTCGCAAGTTTAAATAAAATTGGTTTTTTCCAATTAAATTGAGTGTTTTATTTATTAATTATCCCAAAAGAATAATTATTCAATAAAGACTAAATAAATTTCAAATATATTGGGATCTGAAATACTGCGATACGCCATCTGGTGAGAGCCTTGTTGTGGAGGCCATGTTTTCATTCCGTGTTTCTCTAACATATACAAAAGAAAGAGATAAAAAACCAAGTTGTCACAAGAAGGCTCAGGGGTGGGTCAGTTTCGCGTGATTTCTGATCCCAATTGGAATTTGAAATCAAATTCAGTATAAGGTTATTCAAGTTGGGTGTGGGAAAGCCAAGATGGATGATTGCTGGTGCACAAACATCCGGCCTATCAGCCTATCAGCATTCATTCCCACGAGAAATACGTGGAAATGTGTGCTGATAGACCGGATGTTTGTGCACCAGCTTGGCTTTCCCCCACCCAACTTGAATAACCTTATTTGTTTTCAAACGAAGTTCGCCGTCCAAGGATCCAGCCTGTGATTGGTCTTGCTATTTGGAGCTAACGGAAATCCAGTTAATAAATTCTAGGACGTGACACGATTCAACGTATCAGTCACGCAACGCAAACATTTAGGTATATTGGAGAAAGGCCTTAAAAAACACATTCTCGAGATATCGAAACATTTGTATTACACGCATATGTCAGTTGAAGAACCCAACACTGTTTCATCTCTTCTTTGGCAATTGGATTGGCGTCTTCAAACGTTTGATATGTTGTTTTAAATTTGTTTCTACATTATACATTTAATTTGATATTAGTAAAATTAAAATCATTTATCAACATTGAAGAGATAAAAATGGAGGATATAGGTTAAAACGCTTTTTTATTAAATTACATAATAGTTTGTGAATTTTAATTTCCATTAAAATTTATAAAAATATTGTATATATACCTCATCTTATTTTCTGCAAAAAAATTTTTTAAAGAATTTTCAAAATTGCGCTAGTATTTTGTTTTATTTTGTGTATTTAAAGAAATTCGTGATATATCTAAGATTAAATTTTTACTGTAATTGTTTAAAAATTTTCCCATTAGAAAAAAAAATAATTTTGATAATATATTTTTTTCAAAATTCTGGCCAAATTTTCTAATGAGAGAGAAATTATAATTTCAGCTATACATAATATAATATCATATTTTTATTTTAATTAACGCTGCGTCTATTCGTCCGACTAGACGGACAAAATAATTTTTGATAATTTTGTCGGTCTACGTATATTTTAAGGTCAGAAATGCCCGAAAGTATTCTGCGGACAAAGTCGGGTGGATATAGACGGACGTTTAGACGTTTTTTTGATGTCCGTCTAGTTGAACGTTTAGACACTTTGTTTAATTAATTTAATTTATTTACAAATTTAATAAAAAGCCCAAATAGCACGGAAACTTTCATCAAGTTTGCAGTGCAAGGTTTGAAAGTTTGTAAGGTAAGTTTGCAGCAAAAACTTTCTGCAAACATGCTTAGCAAAATTGTCGAAAAGTTTCAAGAACAATTTGTAGCAAAATTGCGCTGAAAATTTTTAGAAATTTTAAAATGCAAGTAAAAGTATTGTTCAAAATTTTATAACTATTTTGTATTTAATTAAAAAATTTATAAATATTTTTACTTACCTTATCTCGATTTTTAATGTTTTTAAGCCACTAACATTGGGGCTAATAAATTGTACTCAATTTTAAAAATTGTCCATAACAAATATTTTCAAATGTATAAAGTCACTGAGAATAAATTAAAAAAATTTTCTTTCAAACAATTGTTTCGTTATTTCTCCTTTTCTATTATGTGATTTAATTATTTAAATTCAAAAGAAATTGACAAAATAATTTTCCATAAAACTATTAAATATTTATATTTTACTAAAACTTGCATTTTAAAATTTCTAAAAATTTTCAACGCAATTTTGCTACAAATTGTTCTTGAAACTTTTCGACAATTTTGCTTAGCATGTTTGCAGAAAGTTTTTGCTGCAAACTTGCCAAGGGAGGACATTTCAATATTTGCCACAAGTTTGCTGCAAACTTACCTTACAAACTTTCAAAACTTGCACTGCAAACTTGCTGCAAGTTTCCGTGCTATTTGGGAGTGTGATAAAAATTTTTAAAAAGTGATATTTTTTCAGCAATTCAACTACGTAAATTACAATGCCCTTTCACTTGGGACTTGTCTCTATTTAATTACGAAAAATTATATAAAGATACAGATTTATCGATAGATTACTATTTGAAAGAATTAAAATTTGCTGGTCTATTAATGCAATTATATAAAAGTATCGTGAAAGAAGATGTTGATGATGATAAAATCGATGAAAAATTTAAAAAATGTGAAAATTTAGTTCTACAATTTAAAAAGTGAATTATTAGAATATTTTTTTTATTTTTTCAAATTAATAAATTTTTGTCAATAAAAAATTATATTGATTATTATTATTATTATTTTATAGCTTAAAAAAAGAAGTCGCAAAGAATATTTTAAATGGAACAAAAGCTCATTATTTAATGATAAAAGGAAGAATCTCTGAAGTTAATGAAATATTAATAAATATCAACAGTGTTGATGATGAAAAATATTTGAGTATATTAAATGAATTAAAAGCTGCAATTTGGACTACTTCAAATGATTATACTTATACAGCAAATATCGCAATAGAATTTGCAAAAAATTCATTACAATACGATTCCAATAATGCTAAATCGCATTACTTCCTTGGAAAAAATTTAAGAAAACTAAGGAGATTAGTGTCAATTTTTGACGTGCCTTCAGAAGAAGAAGTTGAACATTTTTTAAAAGCATACGATTTAGAAAAAAATTTTGAATTTGGCATTTTTTTAGGCCAATGCTATAAAGAAAATAGAAATAAAGAAAAAGCATTGGAAATATTAATTGAATTAAATGATAATAATATTCAAGAACCATTTTTAAGATTACGATTAGCATTATACTTTATGCAACATAAAGATTTAAAGCGATGTAAAAGTTGCTTAGATTATGCGGAGACTATTATTAAGGACGATAGTATGTATTTGCATTACAGAGGATTATATTTCATGAGAAAAGAAAATTACAAGGTATCTATTTTCATTTTATCAAAATCAAATAAAAAATTCAATCTTAATAAATTATTAATGTCTTAAAATAATATATATATTTCTTTTCATAGAAAGCAGAGGAATGCTTAAAAAAATCCGGTGAACAATATAATTATGCAGCTGATTTAGGCTATGCCAAATGTGTTCGCAAAATGGGCAAAAGATTTGATTTTCCTGCGTATTTTTTAAATTTAATTAATAAATATGAAGATATGGAAATTCACAGACAAAAGGAAGTACTGTTGCACGTTGCTTTTTCGCATTTTAAAATTAGACGAGATATAAGAGAATCGATAAAATATTTTCTTCAATCTTTTCAAATTGAAAGTAAAATATATGATCTTGAGGTAAGAAATTATTATGTGGAAATAATTTTTTTCAACATCAATACAATTCTCTTCAATTTTTAATTGACGGTATTATAAATATTTTTTATTATATAGAAATATCATGATCCAATAACAGAAGAAACTATAAATGTATATCGTTTTTTAAACGATAATTTATTTCCAAAAGTAAAAGAGTATAAAGAAAATAAAACAATTATTCTGCCAGAGGAAATAATTTTAGCAAATGAAAAGTTACAAAAATTTTGTGAAGACTATTCAAAAATATGTAATGAAAGAAGAAAGAAAATTTTAAATCAATATCATGATAAAAATGTAACTATCGATAGTTCTTAATTTAATTTTATTGAAAGAAAGTTATTGTTATGATTTATTCTATTTTCTTTTTCTATATTTTCATAAAAAAATGTGCATTTTTTTAAAAACTAAGCATAAGAAAAAAATATATTTTAAAATTGTTATTTAAAGAATTTAAAAAAAAAAAATTATCTATAAAAACATAGTTTTAAAAAATATATTTAAAAAAAAATCACTGATCACAAAAGGTCAAATTGAAAAACCTCATGAAAAAAGAAATAATCACAAAGAACGTGATTAAAAAATAAAAAACTATATGCCTTTATTTCTATCAAACAAGTAGAAAATATTTTTAATAATATTTTGTGATATGTATACTATAAAATAAACCATTTTGTCAAATAATAATTTTTTTTTTTTTTATTGATAGAGAAGTTTTGTTTCCTATTACAGGGAGTTGATCGAACTTTAAAATCCGTGAAATTCCCTGAATTTTAAAATAAAACATTGAATTACTAAAATTTTGATTCTAAAACACATACAAAATGGTCAGCAATAGAAAATATTAATTTTTGAACAGTTTAGAATTTATAGGTGATTGATTTACCGTCATAAGAAAATATTTTCATTGTTTCTACGCAGGAAGTATAGACCTTGCAAAAAAAGGATTGTAAAACTTGAAAAATAAATAAAATATATTAAGGTTATCAATTAAATATTTTCATCAAGCTTTTCAAATTGAATCATCAATTGATTATCCAATGGAGGTATGCAAAATATAGTATTAAGGGGGTAGTCTGGTATTTATGCCCTTTTTTGGGAACTTATTTCAGGATTTTTTTTTTATTAAATAATAAAATATAATAAAACATTAATATTAAATATAACTAACAAAATCTAGTAAAAAATAATCGATTATAATTTTTTTTCAACACTTCATATAATAAGAATAAAACAATGTAAAAAGATTTGGTGTGATTATATTTTATTTTATAATAAAAAAAAAAATCTTGAAATAAGCTTTCAAAAAAAGGTCTTTAGTTTTTTCCATTATCCATTGCTACATTTTATCTGGCTATATACAATTTTATAAACTCTATAATATATTGGTATAAAATAAATAAGTTAGAAATCTAATAATTGTAAAATATGCAATTAATGAAAAAATTTAGCAAAATTTTGATTAAAATAATTTTTTATTTATCTAAAAATTAATATCCCTTATAACACAGGCACACAAAAAATAAAAAGCTGTTTGGCCGAGACACTACACTAGTCTATTTCCATGTATTTTTTCACGCTGAATCCGAATCCGAAGTCAGAATTATCAGATTGGCTTTTATTTTTGAGATAAACTCAAAAAACTGCTCAGAAAGAAAAATAAAATCAAAAAGTTAAAAAAATTTTTGAATGTCACTGCGATAGTATAATTCCATGTATTTTTTGTCGCTGAATCCGAATCTAAAGTGAGAATTGTTAGATTCGCTCAAATTTTTGAGATAATTGCAAAAAACGCAAGTAACAAAAAACTCAAAATACTCAAAATCAGTTTTTTGAAATTATCTTCAAAATAAAGATTTGAGCCAATCTGTCAATTCTGACTTCGAATTCGGATTCAGCGTGAAAAAATACATGAAAATGCACTATCGTAGTGTTTCGGCAAAAAAAATTATCTGTGCCCCTAATTCAGAATTTTTATCAGTTTTTGGCTATTTTAGATCAAAGAAATTTTTTTTTTGCCGAAACACTACGATAGTGCATTTTCATGTATTTTTTCACGCTGAATCCGAATTCGAAGTCAGAATTGTCAGATTGGCTCAAATTTTGAAGATAATTCCAAAAAACTGATTTTGAGTATTTTGAGTTTTTTGTTACTTGCGTTTTTTTGCAATTATCTCAAAAATTTGAGCGAATCTAACAATTTTCACTTTAGATTCGGATTCAGCGACAAAAAATACATGGAATTATACTATCGCAGTGACATTCAAAAGTTTTTTAACTTTTTGATTTTATTTTTCTTTCTGAGCAGTTTTTTGAGTTTATCTCAAAAATAAAAGCCAATCTGATAATTCTGACTTCGGATTCGGATTCAGCGTGAAAAAATACATGAAAATAGACTAGTGTAGTGTCTCGGCCAAACAGCTTTTTATTTTTTGTGTGCCTGTGTAATTAATTACTATCAAATTTTTGAGTTTTAATGATAAAAAGTCATTTTTCTCATTTGACGTACTGATCGATTTTTTTCAAATTTCTTTCAAAAAAACTACTTTTTTTTACGAAACTTTTAAGCCTAGCACGATAATGGGCAAACAATTTTTACAATATTTTCGGAATTTTTCAAAAAATTTTTGAATTTTTTTAAAAATTATTTTTGGTTTTTTTTATACTACGTACTTTTATGTATTTTGATGCGCTGATTACGAAAATCATAGTGCCAATACCCAAAAAGGTGAAAACCATAAAAAAAGTCTCAAAAAATTTATGGTTTTTTCGTTTATTGGATAAAATATACAAAATTAAAAAAAATGTATTTTAATAAGATCTATAACTTTTGATTGAAAGTTGTTTTTTTTTCATTTTGCATATTTTACCCAATAAACGAAAAAAACCATAAATTTTGAGACTTTTTTTTATGGTTTTCACCTTAAAAATAAAATTTTTGGGTATTTTCACTATGATTTTCGTAATCAGCGAATCAAAATACATAAAAGTACGTAGTTTCGTAAAAAATAGTAGTTTTTTTGAAAAAGTTTTGAAAAAAATCGATCAGTATACGTCAAATGAGAAAAATGACTTTTTATCATTAAAACTCAAAAAGATAGTAATATTGTTTAAAAAAATTTTCGATTTTTTTTATTGAAAAGTACGTTTAAAAACACACATTTTTAAAAAAAAATTTTTTTAAAATTGATGCATTTTTAAGGAAGTTATGATTATAGAAAAATTAAAAGTCATGAAAATTCTTCAAATTTCAAAATTCCATAACTCGAAAATGGCATGCTAAAAAAATTTGAAAAAATTCATGGAAGCTAGTCTCAATTAGTACTAAAAGAATAAAAATTTCAAAAAAAATCGGAGATACAATTGCAGATGGACTTATACTTTGGCGTGGAATACATCATATATATATATATATATATATATACTTTTTTTTACAGAAACACAATGATATTTTCACAGGTGAAAAAATAAACGTTTATCATTTTCTTTTGAATAATGTGTTTCCAAAAGGTAAAAATTACATTAAAAAAACAAAATAATTAATCTTTCGAATGATGTTCTCTTAGCGAATAAAAAGCTGAAGAAAGAAATGTGTGAAAAATATAAAAAAATTAATAAAAAAAAATGATACAATATTTTTTCAAAGTAAAATAGCAATGCATATGGTAAAATTTATTTATTTATTGAAAATATATAAAACTTAATTAAAATAATAATTTGTTTACATTTAAAAATAATTTATTAAAATTGTTTAATTTTATGCAATTTAATTATGTTCATATAAAAATTATAAATGTACAAATAAATAATAGAGAAAGAATGAATAAGCAAATGAAAATAATATAGTTTAAGTTGAAAAGATTTTACATTTTTTTTTTATATTAATTAAAGAAGAGAAGTGAACTAGATGGTGTCTATTTTACGACTGACTATAGACATAGATAAGAAACTTTTCAATACCCCCTTTTTCTCGTGACAAGGGGAATATTATAAGGTAAATCTTGAAGTCATGGAAATCAATGCGAATGTAAAATTCAGAGGGCTTAGCTCAACAATAATTATTCTTCATTTATATACTCTTTAAACGTATAATTATCTATATCCTGTTAAAAGGAACTATATCCTTTTACATGAATTATTTTCTTATAGTCTTCACGGTTTTATCTGATGAGGGGTAAATAAAATTTTTCATAAATAGTATTTTACACACATAAAAAAAACATCTTGTAAGAAGTTTTATTCGCGTCACAATTCCAATCAAAATTGAAATATTGGTTTATGAATTTAAATATATATTTTTTTAAAAAATTTAAATTACATTTATAAAAAAATTGTTTAAATATTTTATAATATAAAAATATTTACAAAAAATATTTTCATTAACATAATATAGCTATATAATAGAAAAACAATGACAGTGGGAGAATTTTCATTTAAAATAATGGAATATTTCGGTGTATGGAGACCAATTTCCTGGCAATCAATTTGGGCGATTCGTTTATATAATCTTTATAATTTTTTTATGTTGGCATTTCTATATTTTTTTACATTGACATTTTTCATTAGTCTCTTTGAAAATAAACATAATAAAGAAGTTTTTATGGAAAATTCCTTTTATTTTTCAACTTTGCTAGTGTTGTGTTTTAAAATAACATACGTTCGCTTTAAACGAGAAGAAATCATTGCCCTTACAAATATGTTTCTACAAGGAAAATGCATTCCACGTAATCAAGATGAATTTATAATTCAACAAAATATTCTAGCCGAAGAAAGGTTTGGGGAAAAAAAAAATTAACTTCAAAATATTGGAATTTAAAAAAATAATTTTAATAATTTTTTAATATAAATTAGTTTTTCGATTTTTTGTGGAAGATGTAAGGTAAAAGAAAAACACAATCTTTCACTTTTTTAAATATTTAAGACAACGTTTCGCGGTGGTCTGGTTCGCCACCATCATCAGGTCACTAATTAAAATCAATAAATAAACAAAATACAACAAAAATATAAAATATTAATTATGTTTGTGATTTGTAAATTTAAATATTTTATATTTTTGTTGTATTTTGTTTATTTATTTGATTTTAATTAGTGACCTGATGATGGTGGCGAACCAGACCACCGAAACGTTGTCTTAAATATTTAAAAAAGTGAAAGATTGTTTTTTTCTTTTACCTTACATCTTCCAAAAAATCGAAAAACTAATTTATTAAATAATTGTGTAAGAATAAACTAAATATTAATAATTTTTTAAATTATTATTACAGATCGAATACACGTTCATTCATGACATTTTGTCTAATTACTTGTACTGTTTATACAGTCTTGCCATTAACAAAGAGAAGGAACATTTCATTGCCATTCAAGTCCTGGAGTCCTTATAAAATTGATTCAACATTTACATTTTGGATGACGTATTTTTTTCAATTTGTCAGTGCATGTATTTTTGGTGTTTTGTTTGCTGCTATTGAAATATTGGCACCAATTATTATGGAACAAATTTGCACTCAACTCGAATTCATCATTTGTCGTTTATATCAACTTCCTAAATTGAAAGATACATTTAATTTAAATCATGATATTTCTCGAAAGGAAAGTGCGATTGTTAATAATTGCGTAGAACATCATATTTTTATATTTTCGTAAATATTTTTATTTTTTTATCATTATTGTTTCGTTTTACACTATATATATTTACATATATGTGAATCAAAATTCCTAAAATGTACGAATCAAAAATTAATAGTTATCGAATTCAGTTCCAAATTCACTAAAATGTTGTCATTGTTATAATGAAATAAAAATTATTATTGAATTCGATAAAATATCTTTTATACTTTATAAGGAATATTTTATAATAATTGATATTTATAGACTTCTACTAACAATTACAATTTAGTAAAGTTTAAACTAAATCGATAACTTTCAATTTTTACAACACGGACACATTTCAGAAATTTTTGATCAATAAATTATATTATTATGAAACAAAAACTTAATTTGTAGGATAGAAAAAGAAATGAACAAGCTTTTCGGTTTTATGGTTGCAGTACAATTTTTTGTCTCAACAGCAAATTTGTGCACCGGATGTTTTAATTTGACAACAATGAAACCCACTAGTACACAATTTTGGTCGGTTATCTTCACGATAAATTCATATCTTGTACAAATATTTTTGTATTGTCTATATGGGGAAAAAGTAATACAAAAAGTATGCACAATTTTACAAAAAAAAAAAAAAAAAAAAAACAGAAGCATCCTAATAAGTGTCCGCTTGTAATATTTTAGGGCGCACTCACACCTTTTGGCTGCCTGCCTGCCTGCAGGAGTTGTCATGGCAACGTGTAGGAGTAACAGAGAGAGAAAATTCAAATTTGAATTTACTATCTCTGTTACTCCTTCACGTTGCCATGACAATTCCTGCAGGCAGGCAGCCAAAAGGTGTGAGTGCGCCCTTAAACACTAAATACTATTTCTCAAAACTTATCCAATAATTCCAATCCCTTTCCGTGTTCAAGAAAAAATCCATAAAGTGGTCCCAAAGTGTCCAGCAAATTCTGGCCGACAGATTTTTATGAAACTTAGTATATAAGAGTTTATGAGGTGGCTGAATTCAAATTTGACATTAAAAAAAATTCAAAATGGCAAATCCAAGATGGCGGACAAAATAAATTAAAAATCAACTGGATTTTGCTTAAAATTTGTTACTCGGAGGTTTTTAGGGTCGTTGAATTCAAATCTGATATGAAAATTTAAAATCCTAAAACCCCCGAGTAACAAATTTAAAGCCATTTGGAATTAATTTTAAAAAAGTCGTCCGCCATATTGGATCTGCCATTTTGAATTTTGAAAAGCTAACATCATATTTGAATTCAGCGACCCCGAAAACCCTTATGCCCTTAATGTGAGTTAAATCAAAAAATAAATTTTTTTTCGTGATATTTACTTGTTTTCCAATTGTAATAATTAACATTAGTTAATAAATAATTACTTAATTATTGTAAAAACTGGAGTCAATGGTATCTGTACTATGACAAAGATGATGTAAAAATATAATTGAACCTCCCAATTCTGTAACTCGTTTAGCGCTCGGCCGCACGCTCTTTTGGTTGTCGGGTAGCAGCGAGGGAGCCATTGACGCTCGCTGCTACCCGCAACTACTAATATCGAGTTACAGAATTGGGAGGTTCAATTTTGCAATTTATATAACAAATTGCATATGATGTATTCCACGCCAAAATGTAAGTCCATCTGCAATTGCATATCCGATTTTTCTGAGGTTTTTTTTCTTTTAGTACTAACTGAGACTAGCTTCCATGGATTTTTTCAAATTTTTTTAGCAAGCCGTTTTCGAGTTATGGAATTTTGAAAATTGGAGAATTTTCATGACTTTTATTTTTGAATACTCATAACTTCCTTAAAAATGCATCAATTTTAAAAGTCTTTTTTTTTAAAATGTGTGTTTTTAAATGTACTTTTCAAAAAAAAAAATCGAAAATTTTTTTTAAACGATATTATACTATCAAATTTTTGAGTTTTAATGATAAAAAGTCATTTTTCTCATTTGACGTACTGATCGATTTTTTTCAAAATTTTTTCCAAAAAAACTACTTATTATGAAACTTTTAAGCATAGTCCGATAATGGGCAAACGATTTTTATAATATTTTTGGAATTTTTCAAAAATTTTTGAATTTTTTTATACTACGTACTTTTATGTATTTTGATGCTCTGATTACGAAAATCATAGTGACAATACCCAAAAATTTGATTTTTATGGTGAAAACCATAAAAAAGTCCCAAAATTTATGGTTTTTTTCGTTTATTGGGTAAAATATGCAAAATTCAAAAAAAAACTTTCAAACAAAAGTTATAGATCTTATTAAAATACATTTTTTTTAATTTTGCATATTTTATCCAATAAACGAAAAAAACCATAAATTTTGAGACTTTTTTATGGTTTTTACCTTTTTGGGTGAACTTCAGTGGCAAGGTTCATACAAGTTTGTGTCGATGTTTAAATGTCCACATGAAAAGAATATTTACACGAAACTTTGAGGGGATATTACACGCTATAAATATTCACGTGCAATGTTCAGTCAATGTTGTGTCAATATTCACCTATACTTATTATACAGGGTATCCCATTTTAATCTATCAGGCGAAATAACTTTTAATCAGTTGATTTTACAAAAAAATGTTTTAGACAAAAGTTATTGTGCTCAGAGGGGGACATCCAGTGGTAAACTTGAATTTGTCCTACATGACCTAATTTAGGTCATTTCAAGGTCAACTCATTTTTTTCAAATGGAACCACCTACTTTTTATGCCGGAAATCGATAAAACAGGAAATTCCACGTCGAAATCGTTGATGCACTTTTTTTCGACAAATCGACCTATTTAGGACAAATAGGTCATTTAATTATTATTGAATTTGGGGAAATAACTTTAAACTAATTAATTTTACAAAGACATGTTTCAGTCAAAAGTTGTTGTGCAAGGAATTGTCAGGGCAAGCATTTTTATGTAAAAAACACTAGACCCAACCAAGGCCTTGTAGGTGAAATTGATTATGACCTATTTGACCTGGATAGGTCGACCCGTCGAAAAAAGTACTTAGACGATTTCAACGTGGATTTTTCTGCTCTTCCGATTTGTAACACGAAAAAGTTTCGTGTAAATATTCTTTTCATGTGGACATTTAAACATCGACACAAACTTGTATGAACCTTGCCACTGAAGTTTCCTAACCTTGCCGTGTGAGGCTCTGTCAAGTTTGAGGAAATTTTGGGTGCTGTATGGGTAGTCTCAATTATTTCTTAAAGAAAAAAAACCTCAGAAAAATCGGAGATGCAATTGCAGATGGACTTACACTTTGGCGTGGAATACATCATAATATATTTTGTGATAAGATGTTCACAACCCAACGTTGGGTCGCTGACACGGAAAGGGTTAATACATATATTAATTTTTATATAAGGCGGTCACTTACGGGTGAAGAAGATTCTTTGAATATTCTTTAAATAAAGAGTCCTTTCGATTAAATTGCCTTAAATAATATCACATGATTTTCTATTTTTCATTATTGCAGGAACAAATTTTAAATTAGGTGGATTCTACGTCAGTTTATCATACTAATTTTTGAAAAAAACATCATCTTTAATTTTTTTTAATTATATCAAATATTGCGGCAAATATGCTTTATATGTCTTGCAAGTTTCATCTTGGAATCGCCAGTAGTTTTTGAGAAAAAAATAAAACATAAATATATGTCGGTATTGTACCAGACATTTACAATAATGTAAACAATAATGCAAAGTCGCTGAGCAATCAAGTGATAGTCACTTTTTGGTCCTTTTCTAACTCATGTGTTGCCATGACAACAAATGCGTAAGTTTACATAATATATCGATGAAAAAATTAAAGATGATTTTTTCAAAAATGGTTTTTTAATTTTTTAAATTTTCAAAAAAAAATTATTTTTAATTTTTTTATTAATAAAAATTTGGTGGAGTTGTTTATATCATTACTAAAGTAATAAATTCGCAAAAGTACTGGTAAATCCCAGTCGTTCACTTTAGTGTGATGAACTGATGTAGAATTCCAGGGCGAAAATCGAAGGTGCAACTTTTGTAAAGAATTTTAGAGAACCTTATAATTCAACCCTTATTGAAATTCACTGTGTTATATGAAATTTATAAACTGAAAACTTTTGTTTTTCTCAATATTACAGAGTGTATCTGTCACAGATAGAATCTACTCAATGGACTGGAATTCATTGAGTAAGAATTGTAAACAACAACTGATAATAATAATGATGCGATCCAGAAAACCGATAAATCTTACTGGAGCTTCCTTAATTACTATGTCAGTAGAAACTTTATTAAAGGTATTATAAATGCACTAAAATTTTAATCTTCTATTATTATTAGCATTAATTGTTAATTAACTATTATAATAAAAAAAATTTTATTTTTCTGTTTAGATTTTAAAAACATCTTACTCCGTGTTTAATTTAATTAGAAATACAAATTAAAAGGCTATTAATAAATGTAGAAATAAAAAATAATGATTGCATATATTATTAAAAAATTGTTATATTTGTTATGTATTATAGAAAAAAAAAGTTGAAATAGATGGGAAATTTATATTCATAAAACAGATTCTTAAATTCTTAAGGCCCTTGCACATCTCCGGCTGTCTGCAAAGGCAGCCAGTAAGAACCAATCAGAGAGTCTTTTTTTTCTTTTGTTTAAATGGCCTCTTGTATTAAGGGTATCTGGGCAAAGGACGTTTTTTTGTGGTTTGAAACTTTCTCTGAAATAAAAAATGATTTCGGATGAAAATTTTGGAGAAATAATTTTGTTTGGTACTCACCCTACGATGCATGCACGAGTGGGTCGCTTCAAACGTGCCTCGTAAAGGCCTTTCTCCAATAGGAACCTAAACTTTTGCGTTGCGTGACTGACGCGTTGATTTTAGCATTGGTTGCCAATAGCAACCGACGCAATGCATACGCAACGCAAGAGTTTAGGATCCTATTGGAGAAAGGCCTTAATGGAGCTTCTACAGTAGGTCCAAAAGTAAAGGCCTAAGCAGAATAGATTCTTGAACGGGAACGCAATCGTAAACGGAAACGTAAGAATGTGTAAGAGAAGGATAGCAAATATCTTTATTCTTCTCTCACCCATTCTTACGTTTCCGTTCACGATTGCGTTCCCGTTCAAGAATCTATTCTGCTTAGGCCTTAAAGTGCAAGTCCAAGTCCGAGTGGCTTGGACTTGTACTTGCGAGACGCCTACTTTTTCCTCAATTTTTAAATAACCGAATTTTTAATTAACATAATTTAAAATTACAAAAGTGTTAATAAACCGAATTTAAATATTTCAGAATTTTTAAAAAACCGAATTTTTATAGTTCCAAATTTTCAGTTTACACAATAAAAAAATAATCGAAATACCATTGGTTATAATTTTTATGTTCTCGAATATTAAAATTACAGAAAATGAAAAGAGCAGAAGTTTCACTTGACAGACTTTCTGTTCAACCTAATTGCGATTGGACAAAATTTTAAGAGAACAGAAATATCAGTTAACATAATTTCAATTTTGCAGAATTTTTAGTTAACATAATTTAAAATAAACAGAAATGTCATTTGACATAATTTTTATGTTCTCGAATTTTAACTTTTCCGAAAATAAAAATAACAGAAATTTAACTTGACAGACTTTCTGTTCAACCGAATTGTGATTGGACAGAAATTTAAGAAAACAGAAATATCATTTGTCATAATTTTAATTTTGCCGAATTTTTAATTTACAGAATTGAAAAACAACCGAAACACCATTTGTCAGAATTTTTATGGTCACAAATCTCAGATTAACCGAAAATGAAAACAGCAGAAGTTTCACTTGACATACCAAATCCATTGTGTATTCATTGTTTAAACAATCATCAACAATGGATTTATTCTATCAAATGAAAGTTCTGCTGTTTTTATTTTCGGTTAATTTGAGATTCGAGAACATAAAAATTATGACAAATGACATTTATGTTTATTTTTAATTATGTAAACTAAAAATTCTGCAAAATTGAAATTATGTTAACTGATATTTCCGTTATCTAAAAATTCTGTCCAATCGCAATTAGGTTGAATAGAAAGTCTGTCAAGTTAAATTTCTGTTATTTTTATTTTCGGAAAAGTTAAAATTCGAGAACATAAAAATTATGTCAAATGACATTTCTGTTTATTTTAAATTATGTTAACTAAAAATTCTGCAAAATTGAAATTATGTTAACTGATATTTCTGTTCTCTTAAAATTTTGTCCGATCGCAATTAGGTTGAACAGAAAGTCTGTCAAGTGAAACTTCTGCTCTCTTCATTTTCTGTAATTTTAATATTCGAGAACATAAAAATTATAACCAATGGTATTTCGATTATTTTTTTATTGTGTAAACTGAAAATTTGGAACTATAAAAATTCGGTTTTTTAAAAATTCTGAAATATTTAAATTCGGTTTATTAACACTTTTGTAATTTTAAATTATGTTAATTAAAAATTCGGTTATTTAAAAATTGAGGAAAAAGTAGGCGTCTCGTACTTGCACTTGCCTTATGGAGGTTCTACAATAGATGCAAAAGCCAAGTGGAAGTGCAAGTCCAAATGCAAATCCCATGAGTGCAAGAGAGATAGATAGACTACCTATCCCCTTCGCACTCATGAGATTGCCACTTGGACTTGCACTTGTACTTGGCTTTTGCACCTATTGTAGAACCTCCATAAAAGGGCTCACTTGAGGGGCCTCAACTACACTTTTTGTTTGACTTTACTCGAGCTCGTGAGTTGTAATTCAAATTTTCGCGCGTTTTTGTAAAAATACTGTATTTTAAAAAATCATTTAATAAAAGTTGGTTTTTTTTTACCCTTAGGGGTTTTTTCCAATTAAAATCAGTGTTTTATTGCACTGTTCCTTGATTAAATAAACTTTAATTTAATCAAAACATTATTTCAACAAGTTTTTCAACGAATAAAAAAGGCTATTTGAACCTTCATCTTAAATCCAATCAAAGTGCCGATTCACTGGAAATCATACTCTTAAAAATTTGGACCATAAGGTTGGTTCCACAGTACGCAAAATCGTATCGTTTTGAAGACGATTTTTATGCCAAAACGATGCGCGCGCATGCTTTTTCTATTGTCGCCGATCGTTTTGTTTTGAAAATCGTCTTCAGGACGGTACGAGATTGCCTGTTGTGGAAATAACCTAAAGGTGCTTTTATACCTCAAATTTCGATCAGATGAACATTATTTCTGAACTGTGAAAATGCGTGAAAAGTCATTTTCACGGCGGGTATTTTTGAATTGTTTTATACAAAAAATGTTTTTTTAAGAAATATAATATTAAATAATTGTTTTAATATGTAAGAATACTTTAAAATAGTGATAGAAAGATGATTTGATTGAAAAATTTAGCAAATTTTGCTTTAAAACGTTTTCTGCTACAAGAAAATGTAAAATGACGATGTTTGTGAAATGGTTTGTACAGTACTTCTGCCTTGTGAGTGTCTCTCAGAGTTTTGTTTATGTTACGTCGGTTCTTTTTAACTTGCAATAAATAATGAGTACTGAAAATAAATCGGTAAGTTGAAATGTTTATTAAGTAATTTTAAATTCAACAACTTGATTTAAAAATTAATTATAATTACTTATGAAAATCATAAGTAATTATAAAACTTGATATTTAAAAACACAAAAAGTATGTATATGAATTTGAGGTTATAAATCAATTTTACACGCATCTCTCAAATACTTTCTGTATATTAAGTTTCTTTCAGTTATTCGAAACAATTAGTTGAATTTAAATTTATTTGATAAACATTTCAAATTACCGATTTATTTTCAGCACTCATTATTTATTACAAGTTAAAAAGAACCGACATAACATCAGGCATAACATAAACAAAACTCTGAGAGAGACACTCGCAAGGAAGAAGCACTGTACAAACCATTTCACAAACATCGTCATTTCAAGGCACTCTCACACCTTTTTGGCTGCCTGCCTGCCTGCCTGCAGGTTACCATGGCAACGCACGAGTGTGAGTGAGACAGAAAATTTGAATATTCAAATTTTTTAATTTTCTGTCGCACTCACTCTCATGCGTTGCCATGGTAATCTGCAGGCAGCCAAAAAGGTGTGAGAGTGCCTTTATACTTTCTTGTAGCAGGAAACGTTTTAAAGCGAAATTTGCTAAATTTTTCAATCAAATCATCTTTCTATCACTATTTTAAAGTGTTCTTACATATTAAAACAATTATTTAACATTATATTTCTTAAAAAAACATTTTTTGTTTAAAACAATTCAAAAATACCCGCCGTGAAAATGACTTTTCACGGTCCAGAAATAATGTTCATCTGATCGAAATTTGAGGTATAAAAGCACCTTAACATGCCATGTTCACGTATATATACTGTTAAATATTTTCTAATGGACCTGTACCGACAAAGAGAGGAATACAGGAATCAGACCTCTCTCTCGGCTCGCATTCCAAATATATTGTTACGATCGACTATATTCTCGATCGGGTTTTAGAACGATATATCGAATCAGATATCGACGATGTATCGGACAAATAAATTTAAATAATTTAATGTTCAAAATTATTTAATATTAAACGAAATAAAATCTTTTCTAAAAAATGTTTTCACGATTGACTTTCTGAAATATAACACTTCAGAAAATCAAAAAAATACCATGACTAATTCTGTCACGGTTTAATTTGGTCCCACGTCTCAAATTCATTTTCTAAAGTAAACAACTTTCAAGATATCCACAAAATAAAACAAGTAAATAATGTTAAAGAAATTCATTCTCGAATTTCCCTCTTAAAATCTTAAACCCTTAAAAGCCATAAAAATCTATCGAGATTTTATGATCCTTCTCTCCGCGGGACACTACACATGTGTTGACCAGACGTGGAACCTCGAGTCGCAAAATCGAGAAAGTCACGTTCTGGTATAACAAAGAAATCTTCTTTAACGAAAACGGCTTTGTATTATTTTATAATTATTTATATAAATTCCATATCAGAATATCATCTTCTCTATAGCATCTATATTATATCAACATTGTACGAATGGGTGTTTCATAAATTATAATTCGCATTAAATATACTTTGTAATTAATCATAATATTTTATTATTAATTAATTAATAATAAAATAGCTTATAAATTTATATAGCAAAATAATAATAATATTTTAATTATTATTAATTGGATTAAATACGAATTTATACGTAAATATCAATTGTAGTATGATAACGTATGTCAGATATGTGAATGTTCATGTTTATATGATAACGCATATAAACATGATATCTATAAGTATATCTAGAATTAAAAAGTGCATAGTGCAGTGCGGCTGAATGCATCGCCTCGTAGATGCATCGAACTATAGTTGCGACATGCGCAAAGGACACTTACTAGATCTTAGAGCTGAGTCGGACTTCACAGCGAAGATCTCTGTTCTAGTATAGTCAGTCTTAAGATATTTGTACTCCTGGTTGGATCTATGCTCTTGGATCCAATCCTCTGTATATTGAACTTATCAAATAAATACCAAGGGTTTTATTCTAATTGTCGAACGATAAATAATTAATTATCCTTTTAATTATTAATTTGTCGTTCTCAATTAGAGGATTTTTCCCTCCGTTAAACGGAATTTAATATTCTTATTATTTCAAATTCCCGCTTTCTTTTTGAAGAATTCA